GCCGCTAACTCGCGTGTGGCTTCGGGTCGAATTCCGGTACCGCTGCTGCCTGGGAAAACCAAGCATCCCATTTGCCCGAGGCTGGTAACTTGGTGCCATGCTCCTTTTAAAGCAAGACGCTAAGTTCTAGAGCAGCTAGCCCAGCAAATAATTGTACAGGACATATCGCCTTTATAAGTCCCGCGATTCTGAACAGAAGCAAATGCGTACCGCCTTTAAAAAGGGATTGATCAGCGCCACAACCTTAATACTTCTCAGCTTCTATTTCAAAATGTGGTTAGAGTGACCGATATTTCAGCTGTACGAAAACATTCAGCCTCAACAGAGTGCGCTCTTGTTTCTTGGGCGGAAAACCAACCTGGCAACTGTTCGCAGAAGCAGCCAGAAGGTCCGCGAAAAATCCTGACGTAGGCATAGGATTGTCAGATTCCTGAAAGAAGGAGCTGTGGCTTTAATGCGAGACGAGCAGCTACTCAGAATTTACTTATAAAGTCAAAAGAATGCGCTTACAGTTGCTGCATCTGCTTCTTGAGGACATGCATCAAGAACATCAGTATTAGAGTCATTTGCAGCCACAGATGCACTACTTCCCACATCAGAGTCTGCAAATCCGAAAAAAAAACTGAAGTAGCAAAATAAAAACACAGCCTTAGTCCGCCGCTCCATACCTGGTACAACCGCAGGTGAAGACTGATTTGCCACAGGGGGTATCTGCCGCTGTTTGAACCTGAAGATTAAAATAGACGTGGCTTCCATGAAGATAAAGAAAACGAATTCGTTTAAAAAATGACGAACTCAAAAGACGAAGGGATTGTGCACACTGTAATAGTCCTCCAACTGTCTGATTGTCCCTGCTCACCCTAAATTGGTAAGAGATTATGAAAAGAGGTACTACATGTATGTGAGGCGCAGTTCGGCTTGGTGGGGCACCGAATGGTGTTCAGCTGAGATTGCAGAGGCTACCTTGTGAAGACCTCCAAATTCTTTTGACCCAGCTTCCTCTCTAATGAGACCTGCCAATTAATATGAACTAGCAAAGTGAACCAGAGAAAATGCAAAATGACCCCTCCCAAGACGAACAGCTCCGTATAAGATAGAAATGAAATCTATATTTTTTCACGGATGCACAACTTCATATGAAGTGATTCGCGCTGTACTTGAGATATTGCATATCACCAACCTTTTTCAAATCCAGGAAAACCCTTCTGCGGATCTGGGCAAGACGAATCCATCGCGATTCGCTAGCAAGATGTACACGATTGACTGGATCATTTGTCCACTGATTAAGGTAGAGCCAAACCTTAATAGGGAATCGAAAGATATAAATGGGATAGAGCAAATTTATCTTCTTCCTCTTTGCGGATGACGTGTGTGCCAGGAGGGGCAGGTCTGGCGCGGCGCCAAAATCGTTTTCAATCAGTTGTCAGAGCAAGCAAAAAAAAACTGTATCATACAATTCAAATCAGTCGTTTTCCACCAACTGTTGTCGCTTACCTGCTTGAACGGCAGGTGTAGAAAGAGCTGGCCTCATAACTAGTCTATGCTAACCGCGTTTTAACTAACTACTAACCGCTGAAAACGAGCGCTGAATCTTGTCTGCATCCATAACAGGAATCGATTTGTGCTTCCTAGTCCGAAGACGTTCTTCGTCGACAAACGGGTGCATTCTTCAAACAAGCTTGATCGTGTCATCGGAGAGTCATACTCTGAATAAAATTACGTTTCTAATAAATTGAACTTAACATAAGTTTCACCTTAAGCTGAATGGCATTACTGACTTTTACCAGTCATACATTCATCCAACAAGCTTTCCCACAATTTCCACCAATGCTCGTTCAAATCGGTACTGTCGATGAAAAGGCTCTCATCACCTGAATCGTAAAACAGTTGCATATGAATAGCAGGCTGGGGGGGGGGCATGCAGCGACGTCACTGAAAATTCCTCCGCCTTGTCCGAGTTCTGCCACAAAAGAGCCAAACGACTACAGTAAGCACGCCAGGGGACATCCAGCCGTTTGAGAAGAATTCTTCAAAATACTACCCCCATATCGGAAGAAGGATTTCTCTGGTACCTAACTCACCCTACATCTTCTCCAAAAATTTCCAAACCTCCTTTCCGGAATTTTCTTCAAAATTCCATCCACTCTAGCGAAGGAGGGGAGAAGGGGGGCGAGGAATCAAAACTGCTGCACTAGAGGCGCAGGAAAACAGGAGATCCACTGAAATACCAAATCAAGTCCTCTAAAAGTCACCTTCATCATTTTCGAGAGCAAAGTAAGCACACCAAAGCGTCCATTTTGTTGCCCGAAAATCGACACGTACTGCCAACACCGATTCAATCGCCGTCTCCACAATCTACAAAACCCTCTGAGGGCAATAATCATTATTGGTTACGCATGGCTGCCTCAAGCCATCAATCAATGGATTACTGTGAAGGAGAATAATACCGTCTCCACAATCTAAAAGGAATAACCATCATTGAGTACGCATGGCTCCTCCCAAGTATACAATCAAATGAATTACTGTAAGAAGAATAAACGCATACAACGTACAAGCGTGAGGAATGACACAATTGTAGCCGCGAGATCAGAGAATTTCTTTCGCTCAAAGACATGATCGTGGAATATGTGATAGATGTAGCCCATTGGAGAGCCCATCTAAATCCGAGAATTATGCCTCCAGTTAATTGAAATAAAAAAATGACGCATACCGCCACTCCACAATCGCAAGCCACAAGAGGAGAAACTCCTGCCGTTTTCAACAATCGCATTTCGTCATGCCTGATATGTGCAGCAATATGACGTACCACTGACATGTGATCTGCTGGTGTTAACAGATAGTGACCACATTCTGCACGAGCGCACTGGATATGCTGGAATTGTGAAGTTGAGGGCTGTAAGTATCGAATCAGAACAGAAGCAGACAAACATTACAAACAGGAGCAAAAAAGTGAAAGTCACTGCAAAATGATTGCAAAATATCAATGGGGTAACCTCTGCAACTGCGTTAGAGAGACAGCCTACTATTGGAATAGTGGGTATTTGGCTTAAGAAACAAGATGGTATTTGGTAAATGAATTACCAGCGAAGAAAAAATGAGAGACGAAACGGAAACATCTAGAATAAGAGAGCAGCTGGCTCAAGCACTGTACGGCTAAGAGGCGCCGAGTGTGCAAAAGAGGAATACACTGTGAAACGACAAGAGAATATATAGACGAGAAAGACGCGCTGCTACATAGCATCTGTATTATTTGCATTAGGGAATGGGCGGAGACTGACCTCCATGGACGGAGCCAGACCTTCGTGACAGACTTCTTGCGGCCTTACAAACAGAACACTTTCTGCAGATCGCGTGCAAGGTGCAGACCGGGCCATCTTTGAAACGAGGGAACCCTACTGACCGCGAAAATGGAGGACTACGCATTTAACCAGACTGTCACAGTTTTGTAGCGCACAATGAAGAACCCGTACTTGTTCCGTAACCATTACATTACTGCTTATCAGAAAGCACACCCGCAGTCCACACTGTCCTGAGGCACTGGCGCTGAGCGCGGGGGTGAAGTGGGAACGGGAGCTGCTTACCAAGGGCATGGCAGGGTCTTCTGTGTGCACAAGCAAGCTTTACAATTATCCGGGATCGATTGGTTCGTTCTAAACCTGTTACTAGATGAAGGTAGAAACGGTTCCACCAGGTGGTCCCAGCAAGTCATTCTGGGTTGAATTGCATCCTGATCCACTTCTCTAAATAGAAGTAGAACGCACGTCCAAGTGGCAATTGGTCGAGACCCTGTTGCGTTACAGCTTACAGCTTAAGTTTGACAGATTGTCTAGCAACTGGCCACCGTAGGCCAACGTTGCGATCACTTGAGAAAATATTCTGAGAACTAACGAACACAGCTGGGAAAAAGAAACCGGAAATTCACGAATAAACAAGGTGGAGAACCATGGAGACATGCAAATGAAAATGGATGGAAGACGATACCAAGACTTCAGAGCTGGAGACGCACACACCTACGGGGGGAGGAAGGGGTTAACCAGGGTGACGTTACAAGACCTAGCGCTCTTCAGCGGGAAGCATAACAGTAACGTTTTTACGGACCGGTCTCATGCACTAACACCTGGGACCAGGTGTATTGCCTGTGAAAGCAATCGAGTTTAAAAATCAATCTACACCTGAATGCTCGTAACAACACAAACCTGATTCGATTCGAAGTTCCCTATGCCAAGAAGATCGCCGCCCTCATGAACACAGCTGTCGGCATCACTATTAACACTAAAGTAAGAATATCTCGTGGATTATAAGAAATGAAGAAGAAACCTAAATACCTTTCGGTTG